AAAGCTTTAACAAGCCTCTTTTGTAAATCCAGTATAGGAAAATTATCCAGGTCACTCTCTTAGTTTGTTGTTTATATATCCCTTTTAATTATTAAGACATCAGCTGGTTTCTTTTGTACGTCCAGTGTAGCATCTTTTTCCATATCATTCTTGTAGCCTGTCATTTGTAAGTCCACTTTCAACTCAGTCTCAACTTTGTCAGGTAGAACTTATTCCTATTACATAACTTCTTTTAAACACAGTCTATCTATAGGCAGACACTCTTAAAATTAACCACTGGGTTCATTGTTCTCAAGTATCCTTCAATATGTCCAATTTAATGTATTTTGCTCCATTCTGTATTAGTACAGCAAATTTAAATGTTCTTCTCCTTTAATTATAATCTTTAGTTCCTTCGCTAGTGTTCAACCTTCAAAGTCCCATCTTATCATGTTTTTTTTTTAAAGAATTCAAAACAAAAGCATTTTCCCACAGGAATTAATTCCAAACTCTTATTTCAAATCCATCTGGACCCTTAGGCCATTTGTAACTTTCCAAAATCAACATTCTAATCACCCTTTTGCTGTTTGTTCCAAAAGAATTTTTTTTAATCTTTTATTTAAAATTTCTTTCACTAAGGATTGAAGGAAACTCACTTGGTGCTGTCAAACGTGTCAATCCAAAGGTTCCTAATAGCTGAAAAGCAGTTGACAAGCAATTTCTGAAAGTGGGTAGAAAAGGATGTATGCAGACTCAATGTCCTTAAAGCACAAAACATGGTTTGGGCGAAGATGGCTTTTCCCCCATCTCCCAGAGCAATAAACCTGCCAGATACTGCTATCTTGCGGTCTCCTCATGAGGAGCAACTGCCTGGAGCACTTGTGGACAATCTCAAGTCCTCTCCTTGTCTGGAGAGGGATTATGAAGAGCCAGTTTACTCGCCAGTTCTTCATTCTGCCATGGTCGCAGAGCTGCATTCAGCTCACCATTTCTTCCCTGGAAGTGGCAGTCTCAGCTAAATCTGACAAACAATTACCTTAGTAGTTATCCATCCACTAAAAAGCTTGGATCAGATATGCACACACCTTGCCAGAAGTGGGAGAGAATTTCTGCTCCTGGAGAACAAATCTGGCTTGTGCGGGATTCTTCTTGCCAGGCAGATAATACTCTTGTCATACTTACTGGACCGCCCTTCTCTCCCACTGTAAACATGCACACGAGAACCATGTTCTCAGTATAAACAGTTGAAATTGGATGGCTGCATGTTTGGAAAGCTGCTCAGTACAATTCAACTTGCCACATTCTCACCCAACTGTGTCCTTGACTGAATCAAAAGGTTAAGGTGGGCTGTTTCCTCTGATTCACCTGATACCATCTTCAGTCTCCACCTACACCACAAGGCTTTAGTCTCTGATCTCTGAAACGCCACCTTTTAGCGTCAGACTGACACTTTGCCCAAATCTCCCTGGATTTCTTGGCTTTGTGATCATGTATGGAAGCTGCCTTCCTCCTTTATAACATATGAACCGAAAGGACTCTCCCTTTCTTTAGAGCTATCTCACCTGAGACAATGCTAAAGAAAGACTATTTCACCTACTATGCTATTTTTCCATGCAGGCAATTATTACCATCCCAGTGAATACAAACAGAGGAACTGCCTTGCTTGGTAAGGTCAAAGATTAATCTAATTTAGCTCTAGGTTTATGCAGTCTCCTGGGGCTAAGATAGCAGGGAAACCTCTTTTGACTTACCTTGTTATTATTGTCTTATTCTTCTTCCACAAACAGATTTTTGATTTCACACTGCAGCAAAGCTTCTGCCATGCACAACCAATATTGATCTTTAATGTGCCACACATTCCATCGTTTTTAAGTAAGCCACGCATTTGTGTCCCACTTTTCTTTGCTTAGAGTGTTCAACTACTGTATATAAATCTGATTTAGACACAGCAAATCAAACATTCCAGAGAAATTGATCTATATGTACTAGCACTTACAAATTGCT